ACGCCCTACAGCTCGTCAGCGCTCACATATGGTGGAGGAGATGAGTGTGTGCATGTGAGCACAGAGGGAAAAAGAGAGAGGAAATGGGGAAGGGTGAGAAATGGAAAAAAAAAAGGAGAGAAGGGCACCGAGAGAGAAATGTACAGCTTGTTCCCGTCGCCGCCGTTTCTACAGACTGTGCCGTTTGGTCACTGGTAACTCGTATTTTGGGGGGAAGCCATGGGCTCGGGTTACAGAGTACTCCGCTCTCATGATCTATGCAATACTCAGCCCACACACACATGTATGTTTAAGGGATGCCGTCTCCATCAAATATTGAATTCTGCCTTTCCAGGTTATTGCACACTGAACGGCCCGGTGTCACTGTCGGTGAATGTGCGACCTGTGCACTTGCATGTCCAGAGTTTGAACTGTGTTCCCTCTTTCTAACCACAACCACCCTGTCTCACCCACACGGTACTAACCAAATAAATGCCACAAATATAATCTGAAAAAGATGGAATCTGCACTTCTTACATAACAGATATTTCTGTCCAAAGAAAATGGGTCTTTTTGAATGCCATTTAAGAGTTTACCGATCTGATCCAGCGTTTGTTAAACCAACAAAGCTTTGACTGGTCCTAAAATGCAAATCTACAAACTACACTAGACTGCACCCCCCACGGCACAAAGATCCGCAATCACATGGGCAGGATTTAATAAAAGGCCACACAAGGATAAAGAGCACATCTATTACAGTAGTTGACACAAAGAGCGGATTGATCATTTAGTGTTATATGAACAAGGCTGAACCAGTCTGGAGCCTTGTGAGACGGAGGCTGAACGAGGCTCTGCTGGGGCTGTGTGGCGGTGTGGAGAGAGTCGGAGTGGGTCGACGGCCGGCTGTCAAATGGGACAGGTTGAATAAGGGCGTCAGGGAGAGAGAGAGAGGGAGAAAGAGAGAGAGAGAGAGAGAGAGAGAGAGAGAGAGAGAGAGAGAGAGAGAGGACCGAGAACACAGCGCAATGCGCACATGTGATCAGCTCGGAGACGACTGCCACCTTACGGGACGAGCTCAGACGTGATGGTCCGACATACTGTACGCACATGCTTACGGAGGTGCCCTGCATATACGTGACCGTTCAACATACGAACCCTCCCCCCCCCCCCCCCCCCCCCCCCCCCCCGACCACATACACACTCGCTCAGAGTATGACACAAGACTGCATATATGATCCGCCGCCCTTTGTCTGGGTTTATCGGTCAGTAATGGCCGGCAGTTTTCTGCACATTACGTTCATGCGCTTTCTCTTCCCTCTCACACACACACACAGACACACACGCACAGACACACACACACACGCACACACACACACACATTTACAGTCATGTGAATGGCAGATGACCCCACATGTGTTTTCACCTCATTCTTTATGGCATGTCTATCACACATTACAGTAATGTCATGACCGCCAACCACCCCCATCCCTCCCTCTCTCTTAGCCTCCGTGTCCTCAGAACACCCCCCCCCCCCCCCCCCCCCCCCCTCTACACCCCCACCGCAACCCCCACCCAACGGGTGATCATCTGCTGTGACCGTGTCCTCCTATCACCGTGAGTCAGTAGTGTTCGACAGCGATGGGTGGGTGGGAAGGTGGGGGTTGGGGGGGAGCACCTTATTTGACTTTTCTTTTCCCGATCAGACATAATTGCTGACGGAGAGAACTTTCCCACCCATCAGCGTCGGTGTGAGCGCTGCTACAGCGTCAGACAGAGGGGACCCTTTGTCTCCCACCATCACGCTGGGAGGGACGGCGTATGTACACACACATATACTGTACATTCTGGCACGAAACACACACACTCACACACCACACTATTAGCAGTGTGGAGACATAGGATCTATGTGACAATACCCACATCCTCAAGCACATCAGCGGCTGCACACCTGTGTATGGAAATCTATACAATCCAACACATCCCCATGTGAAAACAACGTGGAATCCCTTCGTTGTGCACTTGCATGGCATGTGTGTCAAAGTGTATGTGTGTATGTGTGTGTGTGTGTGAGAGAGAGTGTGTGTGTGTCCTCAGACTTACCTGGCAGCTACCCTGGAGCTGGTTGTCGAGGTAATGCAGCCTCAACTGGGGGTTGCAGAGCGGTGACACCTGATGTCCCTCCTCCCTCCTCACTCTCACTCTCTGTGCTGTGGTATAGGATCAGTAGCTACACCCTAGCACTGACAGAAGAGGGGGAGACAGTGAGGAGGGGTTCTTATCGAGCCTGGCGGATCGTACCACCGGCCGCCCGCAGACGAGGGGACGCCTCCCCGCTGTCTGCGCCGAGATGGTCTCTCCCTGCTCCCGCTGCTCTGATTGGACGACGTGCTTCCTCCTTCATCAAAATGTAAAATTCCAAGACAGAGAGAGTAGTGCAGCGTTTGTGTGTGTGTGTGAGAAAAAAGCCAGAGTGTGTGTGTGTGTGTGTGTGTGTGTGTGTGAGAAAAAGTCAGACAATGCAAGAGAAAAAAAAAACGTGTGTATCTTTGTGTGTGTATGTGAGAAATATTTGTCATGCAGACTAGTATGACTGCATGCATTAATGTGAATGCGTGCGAGTGTGTGTGTGTGTGTGTGTGTGCCCGAGTTTTCATGTTATGTGTGTGTTTGCGCCTTTGTGTCAGGGAGACGATATACAGGATGCCATTGTCTGTGTGGGCGTGTGGTAGAGGAAGAGGTAGCCGAGGAAGAGACACAAGACAAAGAGAGCGAGCGATAGGAAGACACGGTGAGAGTGTGTCTGTGAAGAAAAAGAGAGCAGTGTGTACGGCCTGAGCGCTGTCATCATTAGTCTCTCTGCAGTGGCTGGTGGTGGGCTGCGAAGGGGCTTGTCACTCAATTTCTGTCACAACATGTCACACTGAACGGACACACACACACACACACACACACACACACTCTCCCAGAGGAGATCCTGTCAAGATGGGGGCCGGTTGCTCTTGACAAGCTGATCAAACCCCCCCCACACACACACCACACACACAACCTTTCACCCGACTCCCGACACACACACAGGATCAATCCCTGATTCGTCTGCTTCACTGGAAACATTTGACAAAAAGGGTAGAATGAGACGAAGAAAGGGGAAGGAGCACAAACATACAGACAGGCAGTATCTGTCTGTGTGGCAAGAGGCAGATGGCAGCGAGTGCTCACATACACGGCCGAGTCTCCTGAGGACTAACCAGTGAAATACTGCTGACTCACTGCACTCTGGCAGGCCCTAAAACACACGCCGATCAACCTCCACATCCAGTGTATTCACTAAACACTACCACAAAGAAAAATGATTATTGTTAATATCCATGTAGGGGTGAAGGGGGAAAATAAGACCGCAAAACCCGATGTTCGCAGCAGAGGGGAGTTTTGTCCTCGCACATAAAACAGACCATCCCTTCTTTCCCTGGCTTTTCTCTGTCTCTCTCCTGCTGCCGATTTAATTACCTTCTATATTTATCAAGCTCAAGATGCTATTTTGGTTTTGAGACTCTTGTCACTGATATCGGGAGGGCTACATTATTCAGAGTGAGAGCACCGGGGGCCGTCAGACACAGAACAAGAGCTGTTGTTAACCCTGTGGGGAAGGACGGAGGACATGTCCCACTCTACAACACGGCTGATCGTGCATGCGTGCATTGGCTTACATCCTTATTTTCATACACTGTGAAGCTGCGTAGATAGACGGGTCTAAGGTGTGGTCTGTCTCTTCTTGTGTCTCCATTTTCCGACTGCTCCATCTCCAATCTCCGCGCATCAAGAGAAAGATTTCACAGACACACACACACACACACACACACACACACAAAGAGGCCCACATATATACAGATAAACAGGTTACCACAAACGCACAAAAGCGCATGTAAGCTTGTGCACAGCACGCTCGCGAGCAGACACAAAAGAGACACGCGCAGCTGGTATAGATCGGTGGCCTCCATATTTGCTTGTGATTTATGATTGCTCTTCAGTAGAGGCCACAGTCATCTGGGAGATGATGGCCATATCGATCCGATAAACAGTTTCATTTGCAGCCAGAGCCATTCATACTCGCTCACACGTGTGTGTGCAGACACAAACACACGTACAGTAGATTCACAGCAGGAATAACCCGGCTCTCTGCTTCATCAGTTCCCCACCTTCTTCCACGTCTGCTTTTGTGTTTCTCTGCTCTTTCTCTTCTCCTCCCCCCAGGCCACCTCACCCTCTCCTCCGCTCTCGACGCTTTAACCCGTTCCTCTTCTGCCCTCGTTCTTTCTACCAGCATCCTCTGCCAGTCACCTGCTTCTCTAAAAATATTCTCCCCCACGCACCATGGCCTCTTTGTTTCTTCACTTAGCTCCCGCACGGCTTCATGCTAAGGTTATATCTATATTTTTGCCAATGATTCCCGGAATGCATTCAACGGCCACATGCAGGAGGTGGCTGAGTTTAACATGTACTATATAGTGATACGTTAATAGTGAGATTATAATCTAAGAGGGTCAACATCCATAGTCCTAGTTTTAAAAAGAAACGACTATGTTAGACACATTGAGAAGGTATCTTGATCACGGCAATCCCTCCGTTTTGTCAGCATAACAAACCCAACATGCAAACTGCCTGGAGAATCCCTACGATGCTGCACAGCAAGTAAACACTGCCCATGGTAACACAAAGAGGGCATTATGTACAAAAATATGGTGGAAGATAACCACTTTATTTAAAAACTCAGCCTGCTGAAGCCTCTTATTAGTTTCAGCTAAACTTGTGAATGCATTTTTCCACAACACAGCACTGTGGATTCTGTCCCCCCCATTTCTTACAGTAAGGCGTCAGTATGCTCCAATCAAAGTGCTTTTCACACGGTTTATCAG